GCAATGATGGTGCCAACTTGGGCCAGTGAAGCAATGTCCTCCACAACTAGACCGAAGAACAAAAAACGACAGCAACTTGTCTGTTCCCCTTCCCCCAATTCCCCAGCACTGTTCCCATTCTCCCAAATCCCCAATAAAAATCTTTAAAAAAAACACAAAAAAAAGTGAGTTAAATTTTATAATATTATAATGATGGATACGTGTCATACATTTATCAAAATGCATACAATGTATACTAGTAAGAGTGAAACCTAATGTAAACAATGGACTTTGGGTGATGTCAGTGTAGGTTTGTGACTATAAAAAGGTACCACTCACTCTGGTGCATGGATGTTGACAGTGGGAGAGGCTATTCCTATTTGGGGGAAGAGAGAGTATAGGAGAACTGAGTAATTTCTGCTCAATTTTGCTGTAAAACTAAAACTCCTCTAAAAAAAAAGTTTAAAAAGATACTAAGAACACTAAAATCAGTCAGAACTCATTTTGCTCTAAAATATAATAGTAACAATTTCGCATTTACCAGAGAGCACAAATTATAAACAAATGAAAACACTGCATTTTGTTAAATTATTACAATGTTAGAAATACTCATATTACATGGAAATCAGAAATTTTTGCTGCTTACGTTGCCCTAGATGCCTTACATTCAGACTATGCCTCTAAACAAAGATTAACAATATAAATAAAAATTACTCAGCCAAAACAAACTGCATGTGTAGCACCTTTGATTTTACTTGGTTAATTAAATTACAAATCTGGGCAAACACCTCTACTCATGTAATTACACATAATATTGGGTTGTCAGAAAAGTCATGACATATTTTTTCTGTTTTTCATTGCAAAAATGCATCATGACTTTTCCAACAACCCAATATAAACACAAAAATATTACCTAAAATAAAAAGCTCAAATACCAGTCATTTACTCCCAACTATCTGTGTTTATGCCAAAGCAAACTTTTTTTGGGGGGGGAGGGAGGACTGGAGAAGGGGAACAGTGTTGGGGAATTGGGGAAGGGAAATAGCCAAGTTGTTGTCCTTCTATCTTAGTTGTGGAGGGCGCAGCTAGCTCAGCTCCAAGTGCAATCGCCATCCAGCCACCCAACGGCAGCTTGTGGCCGCTCAGCTCAAGGTGCTATGTTCAATCTTAGAATCCCATGCGGGATTCAAAATGGAAACCCTGTTGCTAAGAGCGCACAATCTAACCACTGAACCATCTGGCCGCCCATCAGCAGCTCAGCTCAAGATGCTGTGTTCAATCTTAGTTGCGGGAGGGCAGAGCCCACCATTCCATAAGGGAGTCAAACCGGCAACCTTGCCAAACCGGCAACCTTGCTGTTAGGAGCACGTGCTCTCACCAACTGAGACATCCTGCCACCTGTTGGCAGCTCACCGGCCCATGTGGAAATCGAACCGGCTATCATGCTGCCCAGAGCTTGCTCTCTTACCCAACTGAGCCACTGGGCCAGCCCAAAGCATATTTTTTTTAAAAATAAAAAAAATAAATTAAACTTACCTAGTGATGTGTCCACTGAAACATCTTTCTCAACTTGGACCTAACTTTTACAATTCCTACCTGTAATACAGTCTTTTACATTCTCTGTCTTGATCTCTGTCCAGGTTAACATTGTCTTTTATTTTTAAAAATAACAATTAGGTACTTTTCCTAAATTAGTATTTTAAGAAATTATGAAAACTAAAATTTAAACCAAAACCAAACTAGTTTTTCACCACTAATTTCTTTTTTTTTTTTTTAGGAATCTCGATATCAGATCATTTTTTTTTAAGACTTTATTGGAGAATTAGGAGAGGGGAACAGTATTGGGGAACAGAGAAGTTGCTGTCCTTTTGTTCTTCAGTCTATTTGTGGAGGATGTTGCTTCACTGGCCCAAGTTGGCACCATCATTGCGCTCTTCCCAGGCGAGGCACATCAGTCGCCGGCTTCTAGATGGCCGCTCACTGCGGCTGCTGGCCGCTCACACTGGCTGTTGGCCGCTCACGCTGGCTGCTGGCTACATGTAGCCCATGGCAACCCACTGCCACAGGGGCTGCAGCCTATGCCATCGCCGGCGACTCACGGCAGCCCAGCTCCAGGTTGAGCTGTTGTTCATCATCTTAGCTGTGGAGGGCAGTGTCACTGGCCCTCATACGTGGGATCTGAACCGGGGCCCTTTGCCGTCCCAAGCCAGTTCTTAACCATCGCGCCACTCGGCCAACCCAGTACATTTAAATTTTTAATAGGAACGGTGTGTTATGAAAAAACAGACTACATTTATTTTCTCATCTACCCCATCTTATAAGAGGAGCAAATATTCTATTATCTCAAAAAAGGTGTGGCAATTTTATAACAAAACAAAAAATATGCTATTTTTAACTTTTAAGTTATCAACAGTATAAAAATTCCCCCCCAAACAGTTGTAATTCCTAAAAATGAAATTCTGAAGAGAGAGGATTTTGAAAATAAGGTTCACTGCTTTCCAGTGCACACTCATAACAAAATTAGCTGAACCAAATAAAAAATGTCAAACCTACCTTCTAGTTCCTGGTTATATTTTTAGAAAATTTTAGAAAATACAAAGAATTTTTCATGAATTTCTTTAAAAGTATTTGAATATAGAAAACAAGAGTATTTAGAAACATATTCCATTTGATTTTTAAGTAAATCATTAAGATATCAGTCCATTTCCTACTTCTAATTCTAAACATGTCTTTTATCTTCCTTGAATTCTTACAATGCCTACCAAATGGGCGGTACTTAGTAGACATTCAAAATCACCAGCAATTGAAAGAATATCTACTCTTGGACTGATGCTTCACACTGGTCTTTTCCTGCTGCAAATTAAAGCATTTGGCAGATATTGCAATTGTTTCAAGAGAAGTTTTTGACACCTTTTTACAATTATTCATCATTCAATTGGCAGACTGGCCTACAAGTTCTGGGGCTTCAGACTTAAAAAACTTGTTTGGTTACACTACTTAAGAAAGTATGCCTTAAAGAACTGTTCCATAACTAACAGAGAAGCTAATCACAGCAATAGTTATCATTTAAGTAACCCTTCCACGGGACAGACAGGGACAACTATTGTAAGGCATAATTACAGAAAGCTATCAGAAGCTTCCACTTAAAAAATAATAATAGGGCCAGCCGAGCAGCATGATGGTTAAGAGCTGGCTTGGGATGCCAGCTCTGAGCAGCAGGGCCCCGGTTCGGATTCCACATATGAGGGCCAGTGATGCTGCGCCCTCTACAGCTAAGATGGTGAACAACAGCTCGACCTGGAGCTGGGCTGCCGTGAGTCGCCGGCGACGGCGTAGGCTGTAGTAAGGCTGCAGTGGGCTGCCGTAAAACTACCGTGACTGGCTGGCAGCTGGCGTGAGCAGCCGGCAGCCAGCCTGAGTGGCCAAGAGCCACTGTGCGCAGCCGTTCAGTGGCCGGAAACCGATCTGCCTCACCCAGGAAGAGCACAATGATAATATCAACATGGGCCAGTGAATTGACGTCCTCCACAACTAGACTGAAGAACAAAAGGACAGCAACTTGTCTGTTCCCCTTCTCCAATTGCCGAATAAAATCTTTAAAAAATATATAATAATAATAATAATAATAAACCAATTTCAGCTAAGGCCTCCAACCACTGAGACCCACCAGCTACTGAGTGACTGAACAAGACGACACTAATCCTGAGACACAGATTACTAAACTATAAAATAAGTGGCTGAAGCAGGCTATCCTTAGAGTCTACTCCAACTAAAATATTACGATTCTATGGAAATCTCAAAAAGGTGATGCTAATATATATGGTTCTGATCATTTTACAAGTTGTAGAAAATTACCGGGACCTCTCAGGCTCTATCTATAAAGACACAGCATTTGTACCGATGTTAGCTAGACTTACTGTGGCGATGACTTCACAATATATACAAATATTGAATCATTGTTATATACTTGAAATATAATATTGTATTGTATACTATTACCTCAATTAAAAAAAAACAGGTAGCATTTGTAAACAATGCTCTCTTACAGGAAAAAAGCTTGCTAGGCAAAAGAAGTCCATATAAACTAGGACTCCAGAGACTGAATTACTATACATGGTATGTGCTTAATAAATTCTAAATATATTATCGAGC